ATGTGGCGAATTCACACGACCAACTTGAACCTGTTGCGAAATCTGTGAAAAAATTTCCCAATCGTGTGGATTTCTATTGAGTTGACTGAATTTTCGAGATGGTCCTCACTGCAGGACACGAAATCCAGGGGGAGGAGTTGGATCCAGATCCAACTCCTCCCAGCTTACATATACCTAAACCTACCCATCTCCGCCCCCTGATCCCTAACTCCACCCCTAATCCTACCCATCTCTGCCCCCTGATCCCTAACTCCACCCCTAAACCACCTACCCATCTCCACCCCCTGATCCCTAACTCCACCCCTAAACCACCTACCCATCTCCACCCCCTGATCCCTAACTCCACCCCTAAACCTACCCATCTCCGCCCCCTGATCCCTAACTCCACCCCTAAACCTACCCATCTCCGCCCCCTGATCCCTAACTCCACCCCTAAAACTACCCATCTCCACCCCTGATCCCTAACCCCACCCCTAATCCTACCCATCTCTGCCCCCTGATCCCTAACTCAACCCCTAATCCTACTCAACTCCACCCCCTGATCCCTAACTCCACCCCTAAACCTACCCATCTCCGCCCCCTGATCCCTAAACCTACCCATCTCCACCCCCTGATCCCTAACCCCACCCCTAATCGTACCCAACTCCACCCCCTGATCCCTAACCCCACCGCTAAACCTACCCAACCCCACCCCCTGATCCTTAACCCCACCCCTAAACCTACCCATCTCCGCCCCCTGATCCCTAACTCCACCCCTAATCCTACTCAACTCCACCCCCTGATCCCTAACCCCACCCCTAAACCTACCCATCTCCGCCCCCTGATCCCTAACCCCACCCCTAATCGTACCCAACTCCACTCCCTGATCCCTAACCCCACCCCTAAACCTACCCAACCCCACCCCCTGATCCTTAACCCCACCCCTAAACCTACCCATCTCCGCCCCCTGATCCCTAACTCCACCCCTAATCCTACTCAACTCCACCCCCTGATCCCTAACCCCACCCCTAAACCTACCCATCTCCGCCCCCTGATCCCTAACTCCACCCCTAATCCTACCCAACTCCACCCCCTGATCCCTAACCCCACCCCTAAACCTACCCAACTCCACCCCCTGATCCTTAACCCCACCCCTAAACCTACCCATCTCCGCCCCCTGATCCCTAACTCCACCCCTAAACCTACCCATCTCCACCCCCTGATCCCTAACCCAACCCCTAAACCTACCCATCTCCACCCCCTGATCCCTAACTCCACCCCTAAACCTACCCATCTCCACCCCCTGATCCCTAACCCCACCCCTAAACCTACCCATCTCCACCCCTTAGATCTGGATCCAACTCAGCCCCCTGGATCTCGTGTACTGCAATGAGGTGCTACTGGAATTTTCCAATAAAAAATTCACTGAACAGTGTGATAAATGTGGCTGCACCTTTACAGTCAAACATTGACATTTATTAATCTAGACAATTTTTGTCTGCTGCTTTTTTTTTTAGCTTGTTAGTACAGACACATTTGCGCTAAAATATTGCATTTGAGGCCTTTGACTTTGACAACAAAACACAGCCAATGTTTTCTCCTTCCTTGTCAAGCTTGATACGCCTATTTATTTGAGCTATTCTAACTACTGTGAAAAAAAGGTGTAGGATTTCCTTTGAAACAATTTTCAATTGAAAATAGATAGTAAATGTCACAAATAGCTACAAAGAAATGGCAAGTAAAACACTGAATTAAGCATGATATTTGGAAATAGAAAGACTGAAATATTATTTTCTTGTAAGATGTTACCACCTCACCTTTACAGTGTATGCTATGCACAAAGCCCCTAAGGGGACATGATGATGGAAATGAATATCAGATGGAAAATAATATTTCAATGCTTTTGTGTTCCCCTGAGAAACTTTGCGTTTGCTGACAAACTGTTTACGTTGTCTCAAAGTATCCCTTCCCCCCCAAGAAGCCTTAAAATATAACTTTCCCCCCATCTCTTGTTTTTCTATCATCATGTCCCCTTAGGTACTCCATCGTTTAAGCATTTTAAAACACGCTAAGCAATTAATTTATGTTGCATGCCATACAGTATAAACTTATTTAACTAAACATCACTCTCAGGACAATAATCGCTCAGTGTGTACCCGGCTTAAAATGGTTTAATCTTCAATTGTAGCATGAGTTTAGCATTGTAAATCTTGTGAAAGCACAACCCCATATTAAGGTTTGATCTTCCAAAGAACAGCTCTACTCACTAGAAGCTGTATGTTGGACTCTGCCTCAGAAATAGTCTTCGTCGTCACTCTGCTTTTGGCTTCGCATCCTGATGTGGATCCTGAGGGAGGAATTCTGATCCCGATTTGTATCCTTCATTTGATGAATTACTGCTGCCATTATCAATCGCAAATAGACAAACACATTTTTACATCGAATTCAGCTGGCTATTCACGGGTGATATAGCAGCAGATATTCAGCACTGATTATTCTTTGAGATGTTGCAATAATCTGGCGACTTTAAAAAGGAAATTACGAAAACAAACAGCACAAAGGTAACAAATGGTGATCCACAGAGGCAGGAATGAGAGGGTTGAAATGCAGATCTGACAGACTGAGTCTCGATCAGTGGTTCGAGAGTCTCGGACTCTCGATGGCTTGGACGGCTCCAGGAGTTTGATTGAATCGTTTCTCTCTCCATGGTTGCGGTTGCCAGATTGGAGCGATTGATCTTTGTGCTAACAGCTAACTGTAAAGTGTGTTAGCTCAGCTGTTGGCGGAGGACCTAGCTAATGCACTTCGGCTTTTTGTCTAAAAATGGACTCTGGGTTAGAGTGCACAGAGAGTCCCTTTTTTGTAGGGATCAAATGGTTACCGATTGATGATGAACAACAATAAAGTTCATCAAATTAAAGCCGTATTTGATTACCACAGTATGCAACAGTCTCACACAGACACAGCGTGCAGTGTAGAATTTGAATGCACTGTTGAAAATTTTAATGTTAAAGTTAATGTGCATTCTAAAATCTAAACAATTCAGATAATAAGGTGTATAGAATTATCCACAGAGCAGATAAAATAACTATAATCATTTATCATTTTGATTCATTCCTTTTTCCTAAAGATGGTTTAAGGCTGAAATGTGTGGTTTATCATAATGCAAAAGTTTTTGTCCAAACTTTAATTGAACATGTAGTACATGTTATTTTGTAAGTCACAAAACCAAAATTTGCTTTTCATTTAAAGTCCAACCGTCATTGTTAATATTAGGATTTTAATGTTTATGCAAACAAAAAGTGCTGGTTTTATTAGTTTTTTGTTGGTTTTCGATATAAAACTTGGTGAAATGATTTTGTGAAAATGTTAGTGTTTATAAACGTGACATGAACATTTCAGACCATTTCAGCTCTGCTTTGTTGCTTGTATGATGTGTTCTGTTTGGATATGTACCTACTGACTTCCTGTTAGGTGTGTGTGTGTGTGTGTGTGTGAACCTCCTCCCCCTCACTGACCTGAAGACTGCAGGCTCCGTTATCATTAAGGCTAAATGTGGGGAATTTGACTGGATGTGCGGTGTGGTAATAGGCTTCTCGTATTTGCGCCCATGCGTTTTGTTTGTTCGAATTGTGTGTGGGTGAGAATGTGAGTACTTCCAGTGATTTATAAGTGGTGTAAAAATGTCCTACGGTCAGGTTTCAAGCTTGGATCCGAGATGTGTTGGTGTGTGTGTGAGTTTGAGTTGTTATATGGTATTTTATGCCCCTTAAACGAGCTAACCGCAGCTGAGAATGCTGAGCCTCCTCCATCAGGGAACCAGTCCAGCAATCAAAGTCCCAACCACAGTAACGCCTGGCAGCCCGAGCCCATCCAGAACCCAGCACTGATGCTCTCTAATGCTGCAGAACCAGGAATACTGATGACCTTCTGCGGCAAACAAACGCTTAAGGATAGTTCACCCCAAAAGCAACATTATTCTCAGCCTCGTGCCATTCCAAATGACTTCCTTCTTCTATGACACATTTTGTCATATATCTGTCTCAATATTTTTTTTTTTTTGGTCCATACTGTAAAAGTCAAAACTGTTTGGCCACCAGAATTCTTCAAAATATCTTCTTTTTTGTTTCCCACAGAAGAAAGACATAAGATCTAGATTTTCAGTGTTCATATTCTCTGACTAGCAGGAGAGCCAATGAAACCAGAGGAAAGAGTCGAGGCTGAATGCATAAAAATGGCATTTGCTCACTGCGGATTTAATCTGTAACTGATCTCTCACGGTCTCATTCATATTGTTCTGTGCATAAACGGCCGCTAGCTCTTTCTCCGTGTTGTTTGTTGACATTGCTGGTGTCTGGTCTTCAGGATTGGGAAAGCTCAGTTGTTACGTATCGATGGCAAATGTGCTTTGAAGAACGGCTATATGGGCCGTGTGTTCGCTGACTTCTGTGCATATTCATCTAGACTACAGAGGATTGTTTTAAATCAACACTACAGTAGGAGAGTTCTGTGGAATAGTTTACACTTTCATTTGCTGAAATAACCCAGAGAAGAGTGATTTATATCAGAGTGAATGGAACGAAATATATGTATGTCTGTCTGTATCAGTGATTATTATGTTTCTAGCATGTTATATATTTGGCAACCGTTCTTCTAACCCTAATTGATGGTTGTCTTAAACCACCATGTGTGAAGACACATCATGGCCATATTCCAGGATGACAATGTCATCAGGTTTAAACTGTGAAAGAATGGAGCATGAGCATGAAGAATTATTTCTCCTCTGAGTCCAGACGCTAAATCCACTGAAAGTGTTTGGGATGTGCTGGAGGAGGCTTTACAGAGTGCTGGACTCTTGCATTGACAATACAAGATCCTGAGCAAACATTGATGCACCTCTTGATGGAAATAAATGTTTTGATGTTATTTCCATCAAGAGGTGCATACACTTTTGGTCAAGATCTTGTACTTCAGTACTCTCTGATGAGAAATGCATCTCTCTCTCTCTCTCTGTCGGGCAGATGACAGCATCTCAGCGGCGAGCACCTCAGACGTGCAGGACCGGCTGTCGTCTCTGGAGCTGCGGGTCCAACAGCAGGAGGACGAGCTGACGGTGATGAAGGCTGCGCTGGCAGATGTGCTCAGACGTCTGGCTCAGTCCGAGGACGCCACCGCTGCCAAGAAACAGCAGAGCAGCAAAGGTAACCTTGTGTGTGTGTGTGTGTGTGTGTGTGTGTGTGTGTGCCTCCAGTGATCCTCACACTGTTTACACGGAGGAAGTGTAGGAGCGCAGCCAGACCAGGATCTGTTAACAGTTTCAATCCAGCCTTGACCCGAGGCGCTGAACGGTCCCATTTGAATAGCAGCTGTGTGTGTGTCAGTGTGTGAACGCGCGCGTGTGTGTGTGAGAGCGTGTGATCTTGGGGGCTGCTTGAGGGAAGGCATTTTAATGTTTGACCATTAAAACTGACTTCACTTTGTTCTCTGTTTAACACACCGTATAAAACACTGGCTGCCTCCTGCCCCATTTCTCTCTCTCTCACACACACACACACACACACGTATGCAGCGAGCACATGCAAGAGACTTGTAGAGACTTACGTACGGTAAGTCATTCAGTGGTTGAGAGTGAGGCGCTAACTAAACATTGCACTGTGTGTTTGAGCGGCCCAGTGTTGACAGCTGACTCAGCCAATGACGCTCGAGTTTGGAGCGGGTACCGTTTTTTTTTTTTTTTTTAATATATATAAGCAAAACAGTATGCATAAGTATTATAAGTATCCATATGTGTTTTTTTCCAAGTAGTTTGTTACATTGTCATCCCATGACCTCGTAAGCAGGGCCGTCGGCGGGGTTTCATGATCACTGAGGTCCCAAACTTGATCTAGTGAAGGGATGCCACAGAAAAAAAAGATTTCTCTGATCTACATATGTGCATTTTAAGACATTTGAAGGCCATAAAGATTGGATAACAATGGCTTTAAAAGCATGTCAGTGAGCAGTAGCTCTCTCTCCTCATCTCCATCACTCTTCCTTTCTCTCAGTCTGCTAGCCTGGTTAAAACCAGAGCATTCTCAGTTGTAACTGAGTTATGGTCTGGCAAAGCGTCATAGACAAATCATTTCCAGAGGGGCGTCACCAACGGACGTCGCGGATAGACCTAAACCCAATCAGAGCGATGAAGGAGATGACGTATGCAGAGCAGCGGAGAAACATCTCCAAGTGTTGTTCTTTGCTCGGTTTTTAAGTCAAGTCACCTTTATTTATATAGCGCTTTTTACAATACAGATTGTATCAAAGCGCTTCACAGTGATAACATGAGAACAATATAACAAAGTTTGTTTCTAAAAGAAAACTGCGTCAACGTCCACCTTAAGTAAGGCAGATCAATAATATTATTGAATATTAAATGTCCCCAACTAAGCAAGGCAAAAGCCAAGGCAACAGTGGCAAGGAACCAAAACTCCATCAGGTGACAGAATGGAGAAAAAAACCTTGGGAGAAACCAGACTCAGTCGGAGGGCCAGTTCTCCTCTGGCCAACGAAGGAACAGTGCATGATTCGGGCAGCATTACAAGTCAGATTGGATCGGAACATTTAGAGTATTTATCCATTTCCATCTTTTGGAAGTCCAAGTAATCACGCCGGTATTAAGACGAGTTGTTGAGGATCAGTGCCGTCCACCATAAAGAGTCCATATCGCCCGTGTTGAGTCGTCACTTCACAGGCTTTGTGATTGGAGCATCTGAAGTCTCCGTGAGAGGCTGGATACAAACTGGAGCTGACGAACGCCATTTTCTCGGGACTCGCGTCCCGAGATAACAGCAGAAAAGCAAAAAGCGAAAATTATTAGCGTAGCTGCTGTTCATAATGAAATAACAAAAAGGAAACGTTCAAATGGCTTAAAACAGACGCGATAGCTGATTGGAACGAGTGATGTTCGACGGCGGCATCCATCTTTGTAATGTAGGCTACAAAATCTGCTTCAAAATCCCAGCGCTGTCGTCATCGTGTAAAGCCCGCCCCAACGTTTCTGATTGATGCCGCGATTTCGGCGAATTGGAAATGGCCTTGAATGAGCTCTTTGCCAGACTAACTTTCAGAGCAAATCTAAATTTGCCGGAAGTTGTCTGGGTTTTCCCAGGCTATCAGTCTGCTTATCTTGCCCTGTCTCTTCCCCTCCTTTGACGTTTAGTCTTTTCATTGTCCTCTGTGTCGGCGAAGCAAGTAAACATAGGGTCAACTGATATTTGTGTTTTATGAATCATTAGAAAAGTTAATTTACTGAAGGCTACCAGAAAAGCTATAACTAACTTTATTAAATTAATTCACAATACTGTATGTACACATTCATTATTAATCTAATGCCTAATATGATGAAAACGGCTTTGTTAATGTTTCTTGTCCTCTCACATTGACAGTATATAGGCTTATTTTCAATTAAAAATGGCGAAATTAGATTATTATTATTATTTTTGTCGGTCGTTTAACATTTCTATCATAAAACAGCTCAGTTTAGCTACTTGCATCGTGTCTCGCACTTTTTGACCTTCACTATCCCATGAAGCCACGAGAGAAGATTTATAAATGGCGGTGACACGACGCAACTGACGTCGTAGGTCACATGACTGTGACGACACGGCGGATGTAGTACGTCCAGAATACATTAAAGTCCCTGTAAAGGCAATTCTAAAAAAAAAATCTAAACCCATTATAAATGTTAGAAATGTATTGATAAAACATATTATAAAGACTGTGAACTGTGAAGTACTGAATTGTGGAGTTAGACCGTTAAACAGTTTTTCACCATTGCTATTTTCCGGATTTTTTGGGCGGGGCTAAAACGGGGCTCGATGACGCACTGGAGCCCATGAGCTCCTGGACACGCCCCTACTTGATGACGCACTGAGGCCACTGAGCTCCTGGACACGCCCCTACTTGATGACGCACTGGAGCCCATGAGCTCCTGGACACGCCCCTACTTGATGACGCACTGGAGCCCCTGAGCTCCTGGACACGCCCCTACTTGATGACGCACTGGAGCCCCTGAGCTCCTGGACACGCCCCTACTTGATGACGCACTGGAGCCCATGAGCTCCTGGACACGCCCCTACTTGATGACGCACTGGAGCCCCTGAGCTCCTGGACACGCCCCTACTTGATGACGCACTGGAGCCCATGAGCTCCTGGACACGCCCCTACTTGATGACGCACTGGAGCCCCTGAGCTCCTGGACACGCCCCTACTTGATGACGCACTGGAGCCCATGAGCTCCTGGACACGCCCCTACTTGATGACGCACTGGAGCCCCTGAGCTCCTGGACACGCCCCTACTTGATGAAGCACTGGAGCCCATGAGCTCCTGGACACGCCCCTACTTGATGACGCACTGGAGCCCATGAGCTCCTGGACACACCCCTACTCGATGACGCACTGGAGCCCATGAGCTCCTGGACACGCCCCTACTTGATGACACACTGGAGCCCCTGAGCTCCTGGAAACACCCCTACTTGATGACGCACTGGAGCCCATGAGCTCCTGGACACGCCCCTACTTGATGACGCACTGGAGCCCATGAGCTCCTGGACACGCCCCTACTTGATGACGCACTGAGGCCACTGAGCTCCTGGACACGCCCCTACTTGATGACGCACTGGAGCCCCTGAGCTCCTGGACACGCCCCTACTTGATGACGCACTGGAGCCCCTGAGCTCCTGGACACGCCCCTACTTGATGACGCACTGGAGCCCATGAGCTCCTGGACACGCCCCTACTTGATGACGCACTGGAGCCCCTGAGCTCCTGGACACGCCCCTACTTGATGACGCACTGGAGCCCATGAGCTCCTGGACACGCCCCTACTTGATGACGCACTGGAGCCCCTGAGCTCCTGGACACGCCCCTACTTGATGACGCACTGGAGCCCATGAGCTCCTGGACACGCCCCTACTTGATGACGCACTGGAGCCCCTGAGCTCCTGGACACGCCCCTACTTGATGACGCACTGGAGCCCATGAGCTCCTGGACACGCCCCTACTTGATGACGCACTGGAGCCCCTGAGCTCCTGGACACGCCCCTACTTGATGACGCACTGGAGCCCATGAGCTCCTGGACACGCCCCTACTTGATGACGCACTGGAGCCCATGAGCTCCTGGACACACCCCTACTCGATGACGCACTGGAGCCCATGAGCTCCTGGACACGCCCCTACTTGATGACACACTGGAGCCCCTGAGCTCCTGGAAACACCCCTACTTGATGACGCACTGGAGCCCATGAGCTCCTGGACACGCCCCTACTTGATGACACACTGGAGCCCCTGAGCTCCTGGAAACACCCCTACTTGATGACGCACTGGAGCCCATGAGCTCCTGGACACACCCCTACTCGATGACGCACTGGAGCCCATGAGCTCCTGGACACGCCCCTACTTGATGACGCACTGAGGCCACTGAGGCTGGCTCCTCCCCTAACAATAGAGCACATTCACATCAGTTTGGCGCTCAATCGCGAGTCACTGTCAGTACTATTAGTTACTACCGTTACTACAGCCTACAGTTTGCTAGCTAGCTATGCCTTCGACACGGAAATGCGTAGGCTACCTGGATGCGATCATGTACAAAACAGATCGGTGTCTTTATTTAAATTTCCTAAAAACGATCACATCAAGAAGAAGTGGATTAATTTTGTGAAGAGCCAACCTTGATGGAGAGCTGAGGATCACCACCAACACCCGCCTCTGTAGTGATCATTTTACACGGGATAGTTTTATAAACTTTGGTCGGAGACAACTGGGATTCACTGATAATCCGCTGTTACTGGTGAATGGGGCCGAACCGACTATCTCCTGCCTCGGCCTTCATCCTCCCGTCGTGAAAGCAGTATCACTAATATCACCGTCAGCAGCTTGCCCGCGAGTGGGCGTGGTTTCAGCGCAGCCAGCGGACACGCCCCCAGCGTTTGAGAGCAGAGAATAATACTCATTTTTGCAAGATTTTGATAGCTTATTTTATGTTTCATTCAGCTTATTTTATTCATTCAAATTTGGCTGGGTGGCTAATAACACATTTTTCTGTGGTGTGACAAACTCAGAACACATACTTAATTTTGGCTTTACAGGGACTTTAATACTACACATTCATACTTTATAGAACATACTTTTTAAACTTTTTTTACAGTATGCTCTGTGATTTTGGAT